ACGAATGAGAAATAATCAAAATAATCTTTATAACTTATAATATAAATATAGTATTTGCGAAATTATTCTATTTTTAATAATTTTACAATCAATTTTCCTTTTAGATAATATTCTTTTTACTGTTTTTTTTTTTATATATGAAACTCAACTGTGACAAGAACATACCCTCTTACCAACTGGACAGTCATCGCCAGATCTCCTGCAATCCCAAAACGCAGCTCCTCTTGCATCAAGTGTCCCGCCATGAATTTCAACTCCATTAACATCAGAAAACAAAATCCAATGCCCAGAATTCCCCAGCCCGTGATGAACCCTAGAAGGGGCTAAAATGGTGCCATGTATAAGCAACGTGATTCGGTTCTTACATGGACCTCTGAACACCACTGGTGTCACCAAGAACCATCCATCCGGGACAATGATTGTAGACGCCATAGCAGACCCACAAGCAGCTTGCCATGCATTAAGAAAAGCTCGGGTCGAGTCGGATTGTCCATCCGATCTTGCACCAAAACTGGTTACGTAGTAGGTTGATGCATTGGTTAAGGTGAGGAAGAAGATGAAGGCGAGGGAGAGGGAGAGAAGAGAGAAGGTTATAAGTTTAGGCATTTTCTTTGTGTGTGAGGAGAAAGAGAGGCAGGTCTTTGATTGGAAATTGAGTTATAAGGCGGGTGTAACTATTTATATTGAATGATATACAGTATATGTATATATATATATATATATGTATATTATATGTTTATATGGGTATATGTATATATTATGAATTACTTGAACATTATCAAACTAATTAAAACTTACCAAGATGCCAATCTAATAGGAATTAGAAATGATGGGTGCCATAAAGTATGCACTGTAAGTGGGTTAAGCAGATGGGAGAATGTTTGTAGGGGAAGTAATTGGGAGAAATGTTATTATAAACTTGATTTTAAAAACTTTAGGTGTAATTAATAATTGAATTTAAAGTTTTTAAAAGACAATGAAGGTAAATTTCAAGGAAGGCCTTTTAAATATGGGCATAATTGCAATTGAATCTATAGTTTTTTAAGAAATAATAATATAATCTTTTCATCATTTTGCCATTTTAAAATTTTAAAAAAGAACACTGTAATGGGTTATTTTGACAGTGATTGATCATGCTGTTTAGTGAATCCCTTTGCTACAATCATTTTCTGCAATCTAAAAAGAAATGAAAGGTTTTAAAGAGAAGATAAAGTTTCATAAGCCAATTAGAAGAGTAAGTAAAGCATGGACTTACGTGTAGTCATTTTATAATACATTGAAAAGTGTATGTTAATCTCGCAATTTATCTCCGTGAATAAAAAAAAATTAGATGGTATTCTTAAAAATAAAACGAAAAAGTTGATATCAGCATGTTACTCTTTGTTAAACGGATCTTGAAATGTGAGTTCTTATACTTTATTATCATATATTATTTTATTTTTATTAATAAAAAATAAATTTTTATTGTACTGTCTACAATGAGATTAAGAGTTAAATGAATCATTTTTAATTATCAAATTATGTCATTCGATTTTACGTATTTATATGAAAATACTAAAAACGATGATGTTTATCTGAAATATTTATTGAAAAAATATCCGAAAAAAAAAAATCGAAATCACTATCGGATATTCTAAGTGTGCCCCTACTTGCACTTAAGAAAAATATGTTTACTGTTTTAATTCAAAAGTTAAAATGAAGTATTAAATTAGGATAAAATTAAAAGATCAGGACTCGATTTTAAAAATTTGAAAAGATGAGGACATAAAGTGAAAAATAAAATTTAATACCAAAATTAACAATTTTTTTTTTCAATCATTTATTGCATTTTAGTTAGAAAAGGAAAATTCTATTAAATATTTATCTTTTTAGATGAATTAAAATATAAAAAATGTGTTATTTGTAAAACATATGTGATTTATAATAATTATTATATGAGGATTCCTTTGGAAATTCTTAAAAAACAAAAAAAAAAAAAAGGAAAAGAAAAGATTCCCTTGAAAAGATAATATATATATATATATATATATATATATATATATACATCTACGTATATGAGTTCTGTACTAAAGCTGCTATAAGCATTCACTAATAATATTTAAATGTAGAATAAATAAGTAAAAAAAAAAGATTAATTATTATCATATTTTATATTAAAATATTTATCCCGGTTAAAAAACGACAAAAATATGGGTAAATAATTAAATGAAATTTGATTTTTTTTTTCTAATAATAAAAGCTTTTTTTTATATATAATTTAATATGAAAACAATCATAAATTTTTAAATTTTTTTTTTCATTAATTACAATTTTATATACTCATTAATGGGTCTTTCATATTACTAAATTTTTATATGTTCACAAAATCTAGTAAATTTCATCCATATATATTTATGTTTAATATATATATATATATATATAAACCAAGTTCCCATATTGAACATTCAATGCAAGAAGATTGAGTTTTTCCCACATACAATTAACTCTTCAGCTACAAGAAATCAGAATAATCATCACAAGAAAAAAAATTTAAGGTGGGAAAATGTTATGTGTGTGGTTAGAAATTTCGGATAAAAGTATAAAATTATTCTTGATAATTAATGACCATAGAATATAAATTATGTTAAAATTTAGTTTGAAACAAATATATTTTTTATAAGTAAAAGGAGAATGAGCTACCAATATAATTATTTTTCATATGTGTTATCATTGAAGACCCTCCATATCATACAAGAAAAACAAAATATATATATATATATATATATATGGGTACGTATGTAAGAGTCGATTTCTTTTTAGAATTTGGTGTGTATATTCGTATAGAATTAAGAATTTTAAATCAAATAGAAAAAGAAAAAAAAATTACAAAAGTGAGACTTAGAGGCTCGTGAAGAACATTATAGAAAAAAAAGTAATTGCTTCTTTTAGGCCGTTTGCAAATTAAAAAGATCTTCGAGTGTTATTAAAATTTATTTCTTTAATATTTATTTACGAAGAAAGAGATTTATAAAATATTGTCTATTGATAATTTGAGTATTTATAAACTATAAAATCTTAAGTTGCAATCAATTTTGATTGTTTTTACTCGTTAGTTTCGTAATTGGGTTGTGATTTTTTACCTTCACACTTGTTGGGTTTTATTTTTTTAACTTAATTTTAAATTACTCGTTTATTTTCTACATTGTGATTAAATTTTTTCTGTTACTGAATTTAATTAAATTTATGCAACAAATATTATTTAAATTTAATGTGTAATTTAATTAGAAGTATGTACTACTTATACTAGAGAATAAAAATGGATATAAAATTTGATATAATTTAACATGTATTATTTCAATATATTCAAATTTTATTATTTTAAACAGAATATTCATCATCATCTAGTTAAATAAGTACAAAATTTAAAAATCAAGTTTAAATAAATATATATATATATATATATACATACCATTAGGATAAATTTAAGTTAAATAATACTTGCTTTTTATATAATCAATGTCTCAAATTATAATCTTATCTTGTTAAATATTGATTAAACAAATTAATGAATAACTTTTTGTCAAATCTATTCAATTTAATATTTATTTATTTATTTATAACAACAGGTACGGTCATGTACGGTTGTGATTGAACGGGACATCGCATTTTCTTGCTTGCTCCCGGCTATTGTATTTTTCTCCTCCACGATTCCTCCACGTGTCATGCACTTAATCAACGGTTATGAGTGTCATACACCGAAGAATACTCGTCTAAACATTACACGTCAACATATAATTTCAATTTGAGAAATATTCTTTTTGCAATATATATACATATAAATTCATGTGGGGGAAATGTGAAATCTCTTAATTAGGTTAAATTTTTTAAATTATTTTGAGTTTGAAGCAAACTATCGTTATGATTTTATATATATATATATGTGTGTGTATATGTATATGTATATTAACATTAATTGTAATTATTTCCTTCACTAGTTCTTAAGCAACTTAGTTAATATTGTCTGTTCTCGATCGGTACAACGCAGTGCCAACTTCTTACATATACTATAACGTGAGAGTAACATTTAATCTATTTGGTATGGACTAATTAATTAAACAGAGCTTATATACAAAACCTGTTGGTTCATAAATACATACATATATTTATATTCACAAACTTATATTATACACATATTATAATTGTTATTTACGCAAAATCATGCTTAAAATCCCTTTTATTTCCTCCATCAAACATCAATTTCTCTGTACTTGAAAAGCTAAAATGGGCAAGGTATTACTAGCTTCTTGCACAGTGGTGATGATCATGTTGGTTTTCTTTACAGAATCATCTAGTGCAGCGTACAATGTGGTGAGCTACGGGGCGAAGGGCGACGGCAAAAAGGACTCGACAGCAGCATTTCTCAGGGCTTGGTCGGTGGCCTGTGGCTCGAGGAATCAAGCAACAATTTACGTGCCAAGAGGGACGTTCTTGATACGAAATGTGGTGTTTGGGGGTCCGTGTAAGAGCCGAATTGTGTTGCAGATAGATGGGAGCATTGTGGCTCCAACGAGTTACTGGGATTTGGGGAATTCAGGGAATTGGATTTTGTTCAATAAGGTTAGTAGAATTAAGATTTATGGTGGAAGTTTTGATGCGAGAGGAGCTGGTTATTGGGCTTGTCGGAGAAGTGGAAAGAAATGTCCGGCCGGAGCTCGGGTATGTTTATATATATTAACTCAGTTCAAATTTTATGTTTTAGAAGATATCTTACTAAATATATATATATATATATGTTTTTAAGAAAATTGTTTTAAGGAATTGGACTGGATTAGAGGGACTAAATAATGAAAATATATTAACAATACATTACAATGTTCATATATATGGTTTAGTTTTATTACATTCATTATACTAATAATATATTTACCTATTTAATCAATTATTATAAATTTTTAAACATAGTTATATAATCTTAGCATAATTATTTATATTCGGGTATTTGAATATTGCAGTCAATATCATTCAATTGGTCAAACAACGTATTGATAAGTGGAGTGACATCAATAAACAGTCAAAAAATGCACATATCTCTTAACCATTGCACCAACTTCTTAATTCGAAACGTAAAGATTAGGGCACCGAGTAATAGTCCAAACACTGATGGAATTCACATGCAAGCGTCATCAGGAATCACTGTTACCGGTGGTTCAATTGCAACAGGCGATGATTGTATCTCAATAGGTCAAGGATCTACGAACACATGGATCGAACGTCTCAACTGTGGCCCCGGACATGGAATCAGGTACAATTAATTACATAAATTAAATTGCAAGCTTGTGTAAATTTGAAAATAAAAATTAATTGTGAATTTAAACTGGCAGCATCGGAAGTCTTGGCGATTTTACAAATGAAGAAGGTGTCGAAAATGTGACGGTATCAGGTGTAGGATTCACAAAAGCAGAAAATGGAGTAAGAATAAAATCATGGGGGAGAACTAGTAACGGCTACGCGAGGAACATTAATTTCCGTAACTTAATCATGAACAATGTCAACAATCCTATAATTATTGATCAAAATTACTGCCCTTCTAGCTCTGGATGTCCTCGTCAGGTATACATTTATTAATTTACGAATTTTAATTTTAACTTTAAATTTAAAGTATATAAAAATTATACTTACTATAATTTTGATAACAGAGTTCGGGTGTAAAAATAAGCGGAATTACATATAAAAATATAAAGGGCATTTCGGCAACACAAATAGCTATAAAGTTCGATTGCAGTCCCACTGATCCATGCACGGGAATCAGATTACAAGATATAAACTTAAGATATCTGGGCAAATCACGCTCTGCAATTTCTTATTGTAAGAATGCTCATGGTAGAAGCAGTGGAGTGGTACTGCCCAAGAGTTGCTTCTGAATACTCGTATACTACCAATCCTGCATATATATATATATATATACATATGCGCACCACATATATAATATATATTCTTAATATGATACTCCCGTATGTTTAATTATGGTTACATTTGTCTATATAATTCCAAATGTATGGTAAAGTAGTAAATGTACCAGTATATATATATTCTTTATGTTTATTTTATAAAACAATTTACCACGTATATTTTATGTACTTTATATATGAATATTTAATTTTATTAAGTTAAATACAATGTTATATGGTCATATTTATATACGTATAAAATTTTATGAAGATTTAATTTCCATGCAAAATATTATTTACAAATATATATATATATATATATATATAATAAAACCCATGTTTGTACCATTAATTGGAGCATATGGAAGCCGGCGTTGACCCATGTTTGTACCGCAAGACTCGGCTACTAAATCGCCTTTCTATCCTCCGGGTTTACTCCACGTGTCACGTGTCAATAAAGTAATTCAAAAGTGTTATGCATGCAACTTCCATGGTTCATGCATCATGTATACGTACATACATACACGTTATATCTCATCCCTTACGTAAGCTTCAATGCTTTTATAATTATATAATTTCGTTTCATTTAATTTTCGACAAAAATTTAATTTAATTTCGTCTCTTCAGTACAAATTAATCTTTCTTTTCTTTTCGCTCTTGAAAAGCATAAATGTATATAAATTTTTATTCTGATCAGTAATTTTAATATACATATATATATATATATACTTCAAAAGGCACCTGCTTACTAGCTAATTAACTTGAAGCTGTAATTAGATGGCTTGTCAAAAGATTATGGTGGGTGGGTAGATTAATTTAATATAATAAGTAACAAGAGTTTCAGTTATTACTAGTTTGGTTATTTTAAAATAAATATTAAATTACTTATTTATTTATTAATTAAGCAATATATTTATATTAATTATAATATAATATAAATAATTTTTAAATAAAAAAAATATGAAAAGACGGACTAATTCAAAAATTTTTATGATACGAATAGTTGAAAATTAATTAGTGTATTAAAATTAATTAATTAAATAATAAAAATATATACCGAAAAAATTTCGTATAAGTCATACACGTGTCAAATATTTTAAAATTTTAATTATCTAAATATATTAAAAAAATAATATAATTATATTATATAAGTAATAGCCAATTCACGAGTACTGAAATTATTGAGAAGAAATAACATGCATTGGATTTGAAATTATCCAAATAACATGATATATATTCTTCTTTTTATTGTAGAGATTTAATGGCTAAATTATTTTTGATTCAATCAAAAATAGTTTAGGAGAAAAATTCTCTTAAGCTCGTTCTCAAATAAATTGAATTAATTCTAGACTTTGGTCTAATTATACAACAAGCTAACTCCTTAAGTAATTAATTGAAGTCTTACATAAATTTACTTAAAATAACAAGTAATCACATTTTTAACATATATTAATAATTTGTTATAAATTCTGTAATATATATATGTATGTGTATGTACAAGTTGTATTATTTCAATTGGGTTCAATGATTGGAGAATGTTACATATACATGTGCTCAACCATATTCAATTTAAAACCTAGGTTAGTTAATTAGTCAATTAATTAATTAATCTAATTATACGCAGCACACAAATTCTAAGGAGAAACATACAATATCTCACATGCAATATGCCTTAATTTAATTCTAAGTCGTTGCTTAATATAACTTATTCCATGTTCAATTCGCCGTACATATCATTACCCGAAACCCATGTGACGACGTGCTTAAGCAAATAGTTTTAAAAAAATTAATTAATTAATTAAGTGATTAATACGTTGAAATCCAATTTAATTAATTTAGTAAATTACTTGGAAAACAGTTACATGCATACAAGTACAAGCAAAGGACACGATAATTAACCAACCATCCGCCACTATAAATACCCCTAATAACTACCTTGTTGCTTCATCATCTACATTGCTTAATTAAATTCTCTTGCTTTGTTAACCATGGCTAAACTTACAGCAACAACGCTTATTATCTTGTTTTGGATCGTGATGCTATTCAAATTTTCAAGTGCAGCCTACGACGTAACTCGTTACGGGGCGAAACCAGATGGCGTGACTGACTCGACACCGGCATTTCTCAAGGCATGGCAAGCTGCCTGCAGCTCAACGACTGCGGCTACAATCAATGTCCCGAAAGGGCGGTACTTGTTGAAAGCGGTGACATTTCGAGGGCCGTGTAAGAATAGTATTAAGATTCAAATTGCCGGGACAATTGTTGCACCAACGGATTATCGAGCGTTGGGGAATTCTGGGTATTGGATTTTGTTTATTAAGGTTGATAAAGTTTCAGTGATTGGCGGCAGTCTTGACGGCAGAGCTGCTGGCTTTTGGGCTTGTAGGAAATCTGGGAAGAGTTGCCCCGTCGGTGCTAGGGTATGTTACTTAATCTTTTTCCTTTTGATATAATTTTGTTAATTAGTCAACTTAATTTTTAAAAAGAGAGTTAATCAAATAGCTTAGCAAAAGTCAAATTTTTTTTTATCTATTTTTAATTTTTATGAGACGAATTAATTAATTTGTTACTTAATTATGCAAATGTCTGTACCTTATAACAAGCTAAAATTGGTTAATCGTGGTGGGTACGTAAATTAGTATTTGTTAATTAATTAATTAAAAGTTCTAATTAATCCCTGTTCACATTACAGTCAATTACATTCAACTGGGCGAACAACATTATAATCAGCGGGTTGACTTCAATCAACAGCCAAGTGACGCACCTGGTAATCAACAGCTGCAACAATGTAATGATCCGCGACGTGAAGCTCATTGCTCCGGATCAAAGCCCTAACACCGACGGCATCCACGTGCAGTCGTCCACCGGCGTCACCATCACCGGAAGTACACTGCAAACCGGCGACGACTGCGTGTCTATCGGTCCGGGTACAAAGAATTTAGTCATGAGCCGACTCAACTGCGGGCCGGGTCACGGTGTAAGGTACAACCCATTAATATTAATTATCAAATTAATGGTGTAATTAAATATAATATCAACGTAATTGTGAATTATGATTGACGAACAGCATTGGGAGCTTGGGTAAAGACTTGAATGAAGCTGGTGTACAGAATGTGACCCTTATCGGTTCAGTATTTACCGGGTCGGATAATGGAGTTCGGATCAAGACATGGGCGAGGGCCAGTAATGGGTTTGTGAGAAACGTACTGTTCCAAGATCTTACCATGAAAAACGTTCAGAATCCGATCCTCATCGACCAAAATTATTGCCCCAACAATCAGGGTTGTCC